GATGAACACGGTTTGAGTCCCGGACCTTGTGGCTTGCTTTCTCACTTTCCCTCTCTCTCTCTCTGTGTCTCTGTCTGATCAAATTAAAAATAAATGAATAAATGAAATCGAATAAATAGTTCTTTAGAAAAAGAATTATTTTGTTTAACTTTATTTATTTTAATTTGACCAGTGAGAGAGAGAGAAGATTAAAGCAAGCTGCCAGGTCCAGAACTCAAACTGCAGTCGGCCATGTGAGAGTCCAGTGCCCTTAATCACCACACCACCTGCTGGCCCAGAAATTGTTTCTGGTGTTACTACTTTGTATTTCTTCTTAGGAAATTAGATATTCCTCCTATCTTACATAGTACTACAGAAGTATTTCTCAGCTTACCCGAGAATCTAATCATCCAGAAGATAAATTCTAGACCAAAGTTGTATTAATTAAACATTTATTTCTAAATATTTTCTTTAAAACATAACAAAGTCACTGTATGTATCTTTTATTCTTTTTTCCCAGTGGCTTCTGGCTACAAGGCAGTTTGATGACAGGGTGACCTTGTGTAATAAATTATAGTTGCTATCTAAATCAGGGAAGGTATAATAACCTTGTCTCTGAAGACCACCATTTGTTTCAGTGTAGATGCTTGCTTAGCTCCTGGATGCCAGACTATAATATTAGAAGAAAATTGTGTGAATACACATTTAGATCCCAGGTAATTATAGTGAGATTTGTGAGTAATTGATGTTAAATCTTAAGAAATCTGCTACCTCACCTCATAGTAGAAAGGGCAAAATCTATTATTGCTATTTCATATTCTGAATAAACTAAATCTGATTTAGAAACTCTGTGTCTATTTGGTGTAATTTAATGCTGCTTCCTTGATCTTTCTACTGTCTACAGAGCCAGAGCCCAGAGGTGGAGCAGTTAGGGAGGGTTGTGGAACTGGACAGTGACATGGTAGATATCACACAGGAGCCAGTTTTGGATTCCATGTTAGAAGAAAGCGTGCCTGAGGATCAGGAACCTGTGTCTGCCTCAACACACATTGCATCTTCACTGGGAATTAATCCACATGTCTTACAGGTGAAGTCCTAACCCACTCTTCCTACAACAGCCAAACTAATATTTTAACTCCCTTGTATAACATTAGGCCTCTTCCTAGATTATTCTCCTAACACCATTGAGTACTCACTGTGAAAATAAAAAAGAATAGGCAAGAATTTGACCAATATTTAAGTCTAAATTTCTCATTCAAGGAGGGAAAGCTATATATTGAAGATCTAATAATAGGACTTCTGGTTTGAACTATTAGAATATCACAAAGACCCATGTTGCAATTCCGGTTTTATAACTATTTTTGTGTGACTTTTGGCAAGTCATTTAACATCTGTGAACACTAATTTTTCTTTATAAAATACTACTTTGTCTTTTTCACAGGGTGGTATTGACGATTTAGAAAGTGTTCCACAAAATTTGTAAATGGAAAAACAAAACAAAAAGCCGTGGTAAATACGGATTTTTTTACTGGGTCTATTTCTCCGCTCATGCCTTTGGTATGAGTTTAGTCCTTGACCTATAACTTTAAAATTATTTATTTAGCAAAACATGGGAAGCTACTATATGCCAGGGTCTAGTAAGATTTTTTTTTTTTTAGGATACAAAGAAGAAAGTATTACGTGACTTCAGTCTTTCAGGCACATACTGTATAATAGTCACACAAATGTTATATTGGCTATGGACACAACTTTAAAGAGGAGCAATTTTGTGGTGAATAGACACTATTTCCTTTTTATGCACTTTCAGTTCTAGGAGCACATTCATTCTATAGATATATTGCCTTTTTAGATCATGAAAGCATCATTGCTTGCTGATGAGGAAGATGTAGATATGGTGCTGGATCAACGCTTCACTCGCCTTCCTTCCAAAGCAGATACTTCTCAAGAAATCTGTTCTCCCAGACTCCCCATTTCAGCATCTCACTCATCAAAATCCCGTTCACTAGGTACTGTATAAAATGTGCTGTTTTATAAGAAAACTAGAGAGTCAACAAATCCTGCCTTTTACAAATCTTCTAAGCTGAGTAGACATCTCTAACAAATATTGCTTTAAAAGCCATACCTGAGACAAGGATACTAAGAGAAGTTGTACTCATGAATCTCAGAAGTGATCATTTTCTTCTTTTTTTAAAGTTTTTGCCATAGGGTGCATATACTTGGTGGAGATAGGCAATGAGACGGAAAGTAAGATATCACTCCCCAAGGAGGATGACCATAATCCCTTCTCTGTTCTCATAGGGCTTTTGGGCAGGCATATACATAGACACATGCACCTGGCTTAATTTTCAACCCGCCAGAGCCAGAACGTGTAGCAGTCAGCTGTGTGGGAATCCAGTGCCTTAATCATGTTGCTACCTGCTGGCCCCAGGAGTGGTCATTTTTTAAGAACCATAATCACACCTCAGTTGGTACAGATGTAGAAGTTGTATGGTGAAAAAAGCATTCGTGTTTTGTTTAGAAGTCGTGTTTTTGTTAACTTAGGAATTTCAAAACATTTTGAAAGTCAAAAGAACTACCAGAGGGAGATTTGTTTATGTTGCCTTAAAAACTACATATTTAGGGGCCAGCAGGTGACACAGTGGTTAAGGCCACCTAGACCCAATTGCTTGAAAAACATACTGGGTGTGTGTATATGCATGCCCAAAATTCCAAGAAAGATTGTGGTTCCCTGAAACAATTACTATGATAGTAACATTAGGGTTTACTGACCAAAGATCATTGTACCTAATAAAATAATAATGAAAGAATTTGAAATGCTGGGAAATTACCAAAATGTCAGGGATACTATGTCAGTGAGCCCATACTGTTGTAAAAATGGCACTGTTAGACACTCAATGCAGGATTACCAAAACTTCTCAGTTTGTAAAAAAAAAAAAAATCCAGTGTAAGGGACTAGCAGTTGGTATAATGGCTATGTCACTGGACTCCCATGTAGTCAAAAGGAGAGTGAGAAAGTAAGCTGCTAGGTCCAGGACTTGAGCCAGTTTTGGCCATGTGGTAGTCCAGCACCTTAACCATCATGCCACCTATTGGCCCCCCAACTCTATACTTTTAACAAGAACTATATAAAATTGAAAAACTGGCAGTAGCAATAACTATTATTCGTGCAATCATAACAAGGCTATTTTTGTTTTCTTCAGTGTAGCATTGAGCATTAAGGGTAGAATTTGAGTTTTGATCTCATCAAGCTGTTTTTTTTCTTCTTTCTTTTTTTGCCAGAGAGTACATATACTTGCTGAAGAGAGAGAGTAAAACCCTCCCCACCCCCCCCATGAGGAATTGTCATACCGCTCTCTCCTCCATTTCTGTCCCCTTTCAGAATTGTGGGCGTGCATGCACAAGTGCTCACCATGTTTCTTAAGCCACTGGATCTGGGACTTAAATCTTGACATTAGCCATGTGAGATCCAACTGCGTTAACCACCACACCTCATGTTGGCCCAGTCTTATTAAGCTTTATTTTTAATGGACTAAGAGGATTACATTTGGGCTTCTGAGAAGGGCATAAGCATTGCTGCCAGAATTTCCTAGGCTTATCTCCCAGTTCTGCCACTTAGTTGATTTGTGGACTTGGATAAGTCACTTACTTACCTGACTGAGACCAGTTACCTCAGTTAAGAAATGGGGATGATGGGGCCAGCAATTGGCATGGAGGTTAAGATGCTTGATCTTGCATGGTTAATTCCATGGATTGAGTCTTGGACCCTCATGGCTTGAAAATCATGCCATGCATGTGTGCATGACATGCCCAAGATCCCAAGAGGAGGATGGAGGAGAAGGGATTGCAGTAGAGACATCGTCACGGGGGTTGATTTCTTATTTTTCCTCTCTTACTCTTTGTCTGTCTCTAGCAAGTACATGCACCCTACAGCAGAAAAACTGAAAAGGAAAAAAATGGGGGTGATGATAATGCCTACTGGTTAAAGTTTTTGAAGAATGAGGTAAAATCATGTGTACAAATATGTAGACTCTGCTACACGTATATGCTAGATAAATTTTCAAAAACAGTAACAGTACTAGGACTGGTTTTGAGATTATTATTGCTGCCATCATCATCATTGGAATTCCTGCTTTGATTTCTATAAAATATAACGCCCTATATCTGGCCATCCATATCTGATTTAATTAGTTTGATAAAATATTAAATAATTTCATCCTTACTAATTGTTGTTCAAGAAACAATAGCCTTTGTTTTATAATAATCCTTTTTCCTCTCATTTCAGTTGGAGGGTTACTACAAGCAAAATTTTCAAGCGGAGCTTTTCTTTCACCAAGTGCCTCTGTGCAAGAATGTCGCACTCCCAGAGCATCATCTTTAACAAATATTCCATCCACAGCCCCTTGGTCTGTTCCTCCACCCCTGACCACTGTTTTTACAGTGCCTAGTCCCCCCTCTGAGGTTCAGCTAAAAACTGTAGGTACACGCAGACAACCAGGTCTAGTTCCTCTAGAGAAGTCTGTTACCTATCGCAAGGGGAAACTCTTGATGGACATGGCCTTATTTATGGGACGCTCATTTCGAGTTGGTTGGGGCCCCAACTGGACTTTTGCTAATAGTGGAGAACATCTGAGTGACTCCCATAAACTGGAAAATCATCAGATTTCCGATACTATGGAATATGGATTCCTGCCCAATCCAGTAACTGTTAAATCGTGAGTTAGAATTCTTGATACATGCCTACTTGCTTGACTGCCTGTCTTTCTTCCTTTTCTAAATTCTACCATTCTTCCATATCAATCTCAAGTCCCATTTGGTCTTTCCTAAACTTTGTTAAAATTTCCCTTCTCCCATTGTTATCTCTCTCTCTTATATTAGCTGTTTTTCTTACTTTGTTGCTTAGATGTTTGTAATTTCTTCATATGTAAAAGATTTTCTCAACTAAGCATATTTCTTGTTTAAGATGGGTAGACATATGAACTATGGATAACCTGTGTATATGTATTTGGACAACCTATAAAGATATGTTTTTGACCCAATTATCATTTGAGAAACAAGTGTCCTACAATAAGACCATCAGTCTTTGATTTTATAGTATCCATATACATGCTGAGGCCAGTTTCAAGTCTAACTCTACTAATTTCCTGTGCTTATTAGGATCTGACCTGAGAATCCTTTGGGTTCTGAATGCACGGGATAAATAATTTGCTTACTTCATATACAGGAAATATGTTCAGAATAGGATGACATTAGGGAACAAAATTTCTTAGAAATCACAGTGGTAAGTTTTGTATTCTGCTTGTAATCATAAAAAGAAACAGGTTTTGTTGTAGGGGAATCCGAGCTGCTATTTTGTCTTCACTTTCTCTCTTGTTCCTCACTTCTTGTAGCCTAACTGAGTCCCCTTTCAAAGTTCATTTGCAAAAACTAAGTTTGAGTCAAAGGACAGCGGATGAAGACCTGCAGTTATACCAGACACCCCTGGAGCTCAAATTAAAACATAGCACCATCCACGTGGATGAACTGTGTCCTCTCATTGTTCCGAATCCAGGAGTTGCTGTCATTCATGACTATGCAGATTGGGTCAAGGAGGCATCAGGAGACGAATTGGAAGCACAAAGTGAGTAATGCATGGTGCTTCTAACCTTTGATGCCCCAGGAATAGAGATAGCATGTGTTCATAGGAAAACAGGTTTGCTTACACTGATCTGGTAGGTGGATTCCTGAACTTATACTTTTCTTTTTTGTTTTGTTTTGTTTTGTTTTGTTTTGAGAGAACTTCGTTACCGAGCACTTGCGCTCCACAGACAGAGACAGAAAGCAAGAAATCACCCCCAAGGGGGGATGGCCACGCCGCAATCCCTTCTCCTCCATTCTCCTCTCGGGATCTTGGGCACGCACGCACATGCGTCTGGCGTGAGCTTCAAGCCACTGGGTCCAGGACACGAACCACAGTCGACTACATGGGAGTCCAGCGACATAGTCATTATGCTAACTGCTGGTCCCATGAGCTTGTACTTTTCTGTAGTTAAGTTGGGATAAGCAGAATCCCAAATGAAAAGAAATTGTCACTGTTTATAGTTATTCTTATGAGGGTCCACAGGTAGTGTAGTTGCTAAGGCACTGGACTCCCACTAGAACCGTAGTTCTAGTCTTGGACCCCATGACTTGAAAGTCAAACCAGTGCATGTGCTTGCCTGTTCAGAATCCCCAGAGGAGATGAGAAGGGATTTGCGGTGTGATGTCCCCCCTGGAGGTGGTTTCTCATTTTCCCTCTGTCTGTCTGTCTGTCTGTCTGTTTCTCACTCTTTGGTGAGTGCATTTACCCTATGGCAATAAGCTTTAAAAAAAGAAACAATTACTATATCCCTTATATAGAAATCTTCAAATAACTACCCAGTTGCATCTCCTAGATTTATGAAAATACGTTTCTTTCCCAGCGCAGAGAATGTAAGTGGAAAGATTCGGTCCTTCTTGGTTTTCTGAATCTTACTCATTCTTCCATATCCAGCTTAATTCCCATTTGGTCTTACCAAACTGTATTATAATTTCTCTTTCTGACTTCACTATTATTCTTTTCTGAACCAGTACTTTCATAAAGTGCTCCGGTTAAGTTTTTCTAATGTGGTAACTTAGGATTTCAAACAGTATAGCATTCATATTTGACTACATGTTTAGTGAATAACCTTTATTGAAAAATGAACATTTTATTTCATGTCCCATACCACCCACACATCTGGGGACTTGTTTATATTCAGCCCTCTGTGTTTGCTTTGCTGACCCAGCTTTTCAAACATGTTGGTTAACTTCCCAGTGTGTACTTGATGAACATGATGAACAGTGCTTCCTTTTTGTTTTGTTTCTTGAGGTCAGTCAATATAGCATAGTGATGGTACCAGCAGTTAGTGTAATGGCTATGTCACTGGACTTCCATGTAGTCATCCACGGTTCGAATCCTGTACCCAGTGGTGTAAACTCAAACGCCAGCCGCATGTGCGTGCATGCCCAAGATCCCTAGAGGAAAATGGAGGAGAAGGGATTGCGGCATGGCCATCCCCCCTGGGGGATGATTTCTCGTTTTCTGTCTCTCTCTGTCTGTCTGTCTTTCTGGCTAGAGCACGCACCCTATAGCAAAAACCTCTCCAAAAAAGAAAAAAAAGAAAAGAAAAAGAAAAAAATATATGTATCTGTGTGTGTGTGTGTGTGTGTGTGTGTGTGTGTGTGGGTAACAGAATGGACCTGAACTTCGATGACCTGCATTTGAATCCTGGCTGTGTTACATATTGCCTGTAACTGTGGTAAAATCACTTAATACTCTGTACCCCAGTTTCATTAAAATGAATTTAACTTCTGTTTAGTTATGTTTTTTAGAGTTGGTTTTATCTGAAGTGCTTTGAACAGTGTCCATTAGACTCAGTAAATATAAGGCTGTGGCTATAGCAGGAAGGAATAATCCCTTAGGACTTTTTAGAGTATTTCTTTTTTCTTTTTTTTTATTTTTATTTTTTTATTAAAGTGTTTGCCAAAGGGCATGTGCACTCCCTACAGGGAGACAGTGAGAAGGAAAGTGAGAGATTACTCCCAACCTGGGGGGTGGGGTGGGGAGGATGGCCACACTGCAGTCCCTTGTCTTCCATTTTCCTCTTGAGATTTTTGGGCATACACACACCCACACCTGGCATGATTTTAAGCCGCCAAATCCAGGAATCAAACTGTGGTCAGCCATATAGGAGTCTAGCACCCTAACCACTGCAGTACCTGCTAGCCCCTTATGTTTCTAAAAGGATTTTTAAGCAATATTTATTGTATTTAGAGGACCTTTTCTCTTAATACCTGACATAATATTAGCTACAATTAGGCTGGGGCAACCTGTTTAAAGGAGCATAGAATTATATTTGTTTTAGAAACATGGAATGAGGGGCCAGCAGTTAGCATAATGGCTATGTCACTGAACTCCTATGTAGCCGACCACAGTTCGAGTCCTGGACCCAGTGGCTTAAACTCACCGCCAGGCGCATGTGTGTGCATGCCCAAGATCCCGAGAGGAGAATGAAGGAGAAGGGATTGCGATGTGGCCATCCCCCCTAGGGGGTGATTTCTCGCTTTCTATCTCTCTGTCTCTCTGTCTTTCTGGCGAGTGCACACGCCCTATAGCAAAAACCTCTCCAAAAAAAAAAAAAAAAAAAAACATGGAAAGACGAAGTGGTCATACACACACTTCTGGAACTTATAGGATAAAGCTGAATGAGGTGAGACAGATTCAGGGTAATCATTTTGCATAGTCATATGAAGTGTTTAATAATGCATGTATATTTTTAAAATAGTTATTCAGTTTTATTTATTATAATTTTTTAATTTGACTCGGGGGCAGGCAGGTGTTCAGAGTAAGAAACAAGCCATCAGGTCCGGGACTCAAACTGTGGTTGACTGTCTAGGAGTCCAGCACCTTAACCATCACACCACCTAATGGCCCCTAATACATATATTTTTACACCAGAGTTATAGTCATGCCCTCCCTGGCATTATTATAAGACTTTGTGTCATAGCATTAATTTCCTTCCCCTTCCTTAGTTGTGAAGCACTGGAGCCTGACGTGGACATTATGTGCCGCCCTGTGGGGCCACCTAAAGGAGCTTGACAACCAGCTGGATGAGCCCAGTGAATACGTTCAGATTCTGGAGCGGCGACGAGCTTTCTCTCGTTGGCTATCCCATACTGCTTCACCTCAGATTGAAGAGGAAGTCTCCTTAACCCAAAAGGACAGCCCTGTAGAGGCTGTCTTCAGCTACCTCACAGGCAATAGGATCAGCGAGGCCTGTTCTCTGGCCCAGCAGTCAGGTAAAGGATATGGTCCTTCTTTGCATATCTGCCTACTTCCTATTGACTGTCTCCTACCCCTTAATTGTGGATTTGCATTTGTCTTCTAAACCTTGAGTATTCGTGTAAATTTCCCAGAACGAGTGTTCATTCCTCCAGAATACAGAGCATGTCTGATTTTCTTTTTTAAACTTTAAACCTTAACTTTTCTTAATTCAAATTTTTCTTCCTTCCTTCCTTCCTTCTTTTTTTCCTTCCTTTCTTGTTTGTTTGTTATAGGGCACATGTGCTTACCAGAGAAAGTAAGAAACCACCTGCCAGGGGATGACAATATTGCATCTTTTCTCCTTCATTCTCCTTTTGGGATTTTTGGGCATGCATTCACATTTTGGGCTGCTGGGTCTGGGACTTGAACTGAGAAGTCAGCCATGTGGGAGTCCAGTGCCTTAACCACCATACCTCCTACTAGTCTAAATTGCTGTTTTTCTTAATTGCCAGAGAGTGAGTGTGCTTATCAGAGAGGGACAGAGAAAGGGGAGGGAGAAAGCACTCTCCGGTGGAGCACTGTCACACCATGAACCCTTCTCCATTTCTCTCTGGCATGTTTTTCAGGCCTCTGGAGCAAGATTCTACCATAGTAGGCCATGAGGCAGCTGACTCCCTTAACCACAAGGCTACAGGACCAGCAGTAAATTTTGTTACATACACATTTATAGTAAAACTAAGATACTCAGATAAAAAAAAAAACTTTTCAAAGATGGTATCCTGCTATGTATAGTATTCTGTTCATTTAACACATTACAAAACTCCTGTAGTATAGGTACAATGATCAAATGCTTCTTTGCATTCTCTTACATCAGTCTTATTGTTTTAGTGGAATAAATATAGTCATACATTACTTAATGATGTGGATGCATTCTGAGAAATGTATCATAAGGTGATGTCATCGTCCAATTGTCACACAATGTACTTACACAAACCTAGATGGTACAGCATATTACATACCTATCGTTTAGTTTGTCATAATCTTTTTGGACCAAAAATATGGTTCATTGCTGACTGAAATGTCATTACACAAATGCTTGTTTCTTTCCTAATAACAGGAAATACTTGAAAATAGGTGATTTATTAAAATAAATCATGGTTTGGAGATCTAGTGGCCATTTCTGGTAGGGCTACATCCCTCATGGTAGAGGTTAGGAGAATGTAATCTTGTTCTCTCATTTCCTTTCCTTACACTCCCACCAGGAGTGAATTGTGGGGGCCCTATCTTTGAAACAGATGATGTTTCCTTCATTTTATAGATAAAGTACCTTGCTTAGGGTCACAAAAGTAGTAGTAGATCTGTTGTTGATCTCTAAATATTGGGTCATTTGGAAAGTCATGGTGCATTTTTGCATAGAAAAACACGTTATGACTTTCCTGATGACCTAATATTGTATAAGCTATATGTCATTTAGGGTAAACCACTTTGCAGATTTTCTTCCTAAGCAGAAAATCAGAAGTTTTTGAGCAGTATTTTGGCACTACTGCAGAAAGAAGTCATAAATGTTAGATCCTCTCTCCTCAGGACTGGAACAAGTAAGATTATGCCCCCCCAAGTGTTGAAGTCCATTAATCCTTATAATCTTCAGAGAACCTCTTTTTCTCTTACAGGTGATCATCGTCTTGCCCTTCTTTTATCCCAGCTGGTGGGCAGCCAATCGGTCCGGGAGCTACTCACCATGCAGCTAGTGGATTGGCGTCAGCTACAGGCCGATTGTTTCATACAGGATGAAAGACTGCGCATTTTTGCCCTCTTGGCAGGGAAACCGGTATTTTCTCCTCTTACATAATCTCATATCAATTTTCTCATTTAAGATTGCTTGAGATTTAGGCACAAAGAGTTCTTTATAAATTGCACACAATGGTAATTTGGTTTTAACATCTAGTAAAAAATTTTTAAATTACAAAGGCAGGGGCCAGCAGGTGGCATTAGTGGTTAAGGCACTGGATTCCCACATCTGACTGCCATTTCAGTCCTGGACCCTGCAGTTGAAACTCAGGCTAGGCATGCATGCCAAAATTCAAAGAGGAGAAGAGATTGCAGTATTGCCATGCCCCCTAGGGCATGAGATTTCTCACTTTCTATCTCTCTGGTGAGAGCATGTGCCCTAATAGCAAACAAAACTGTCTCTCAAAAAAAAGGAAGACATGTTCATTGTAAAACGAAACAAACCAAAAAAATCCTAGCCATGCCAAAATAATCATATTAAAATATTACTTTACCAGGGCCAGTAGGTGGTATGGGGGTTAAGGTACTAGACTCCCACATGACTGACTGTGGTTCAAGTCCTGGAGCTGGTGATTTGAACATAATGCCAGGTGCATGTGTGTCTGTGCTCAAAATCCCAGGACGAGAATGGAGAAGGGATTGTGATGTGGTCATCCTCTCTTGGGGTGATTTCTCACTTCCCTCCCCCTATCTCTGGTGAGTACATGCACTGTATGGCAAAGATCTTTTAAAAAAAAATTATTTCAGGACCAGCAGTTGGCGTAATGGCTATGTCGCTGGACTCCCATGTAGTCAACTGCGGTTTAAGTCCCAGACCTGGTGGCTTAAACTCATGCCTGGTGCATGTGTACCCAAGATCCCAAGAGGAGAATGGAAGAGAAGGGATTGCAGCATGGCCATCTGCCCTGAGGGGGGTGATTTCTGGCTGGCTTTCTTTCTTTCTGGCGAGTGCACGCACCCTATAGCAAAAACCTCTCAAAAAAAAAAAAAATCATTTCACCATATCCCAAATTATAATGATAAGCAATGTAAATGATTTTCTGTTCAGACATATTTTACGTCTGTATGTTCAAAAGTACATAGGAATATAATATACAAATAAAATAAATTATCCATTGTTTTGCAACTTTTAAATTTGCTGTGTATGGACAATTTTGCATGTCATTCCACATCTTTTTTTTTTTAATTGCCAGAGGGCACTTGTGATCACCAGAGATCACCATACAGAAAGACAGAGGAAGAAGGAAAAAGCACTCAATGCCATAATCCCTTCTCCGTTTCTCCATCCTGTTGGGATTTTGGACTTAAATTCACTCACTTCCCAGTGTTTTTCCATGCTGCCTAGGCCAGGATTTGAGCCATAGTCAATCGTGTGAGACCTTATTTCCTTAAACACTAGGCTACAGAGCTGGTGGCCCTATGATTTCCTTCCTAAAGTCAATCTCCAAAAATAAGATAAGTGGTCATAATTTATGCTCATCTGACGTTTCATAAATTGGCAACTATAGGCTGTGAGAAGACCTATATGTTTTCAATGGCTCTCATCTCTTCTCAGAGCCCTGATTTTGTTTTTTGTTTTTTGGGTTTTTTTTGCCTAAATCTATCCTCTTACCTGCCACATAGGCACTGTGTATTTTGTATCTAGATAACTAAACAAGTGAACTTGCAGGCACAGTTGATAAAGGAAAATAGTAATGATTTTATCTCCCACAGGTTTGGGCACTTTCAGAACACAAGCAAATCAACGTGTGTTCTCAGCTAGATTGGAAACGCTCCCTAGCTGTCCATCTTTGGTATTTGCTTCCACCAACAGCTTCTATTTCCAAGGCACTCAGCATGTATGAAGAAGCATTTCAGGTATTGGTGCCCAGTAAAGCCAAATGAGAATCCTAGTGAGCATTCTGTCTTCTTCTGCTAGAAAAGTCTGGCAGAGTTTAGAAAAATACATCAAAATACATTTCTTGATACTTTGTACTAACTTACTATGTACCATAAAGTTACAGTGGACCCAGAAAAATGTTCGCTTTACTTCTGTTTCTATACAGGGCTACTCTTAAACTCCTCCATTTTACTTAATATAATTCATTTCTACAGTTGACTTTCTTACTGCTGCCTTCCTACCCCTAAATCTAAGAGTATTTTTTATTTTTCAGTCCTAATTCTAATTCCTTTGAGAATTTTCTGATAGACAGCCTGACCTCAGGTTTGGTTAGCCCCAAACTAGCAGGTTTCAGTTTTGCCTCTAAATATCATATTTCATATTTATTGTCATTGTTGAGGTTAAAGTAAATGAGGTTAAATAACATCATTCCTTGAATTTTCTTTTTACTGTCTATATTTTGTATTTGTCTTCAATATCATTAGTCAGGAGAAAGAGAAACTGGATATATTAAGGATTATAGAGCTGGTAACACACTGTGCTTTGTAGGCTTAGACCACAAGGGAGGTTCACCCAACATAATGGTCAGGTGCAAGGACATGCATCTATAATCTCAGCAATTTAAGAAGGCTGAACAGGAGCATTACTAGCTTAATTCTGGCCAGGGCAACATAGCAAGACTATATCTAAAAAGGAACCAGGCAGGGTGGTACAAGTGTGTAGTCCCAACTTGGAAGTTGAAGCAGGAGTAACATAACATGCCTAGTTTCTGTCTTAAAAAAAAAAGAAAAAAAAAAACTAAAACAAGATAAGAATGGAAATGAGAACTATTTGAAATCTTTACCAGTCCGTTGAATACAGAACTTGTCACTGTCTATTAATGTTACAATTTTTTATAGATTCCTTTGAGGGTGTCACGTCATTAGTCATACATGTTTCTAAGTAATTGAGATAATGCATTCACTAGCATTTGGTGAAACAGACTAGTAGCCAATATGTTGTGTAATCAAACTCTTTCCTACAGAATATTTTTTTTTTTTGGTTCCTACAGAATACTTGTGAGGTTGACAGATATGCCTGCTCCCCACTTCCTTCTTACCTGGAGGGTTCTGGCTGTGTGGAAGAAGATGATCAAAACTCAGAGAGACCACTTCGAGACGTCTGCTTTCACCTTCTAAAACTCTACAGTGACAGGTACCAGAGCCAGACCCTATAGTCACTTAAGTACTGCAAGAGCTTTTAGGGATTCCTCTCCCCTTTATGTGCCACCAAATTGCCATAAGTCTGTACAAATTATCAAATATAACTTAATACTAGTTGAGTAGAAAGTGTAGTGGAATTGGAGTTAGAAAACTAAAAATTATTTTAATCAACTTCAATGTAATACAGTTTGAATATAATAGAGTACATAGTTGAATAAGTTTTGTAGGGAATATTTAACTGCAACTACAGTCAGAACCAAGATAATTCCATTATCTCCAAGAAATTTCCTTCTGTCCTCTTTCAGTTAGTCCTCATCCCAGACAATTGTTGCCTAGCTTTTTGTTTCTACAAATAACAATTGCTGTTCTAGAATTTTATGTAATTGACATCATACCATATGTTCCCCTTTGCCATTCATCTTTTACTCAGAATGATTTTGAGATTTTTATCCATATTAATATGTACATCAGAGGGGCCAGCTCCATGCCCTATTCATTAAGGCAGTCAGATTCCCACATGGCCAACTGTGTGGTTTGAGTCCTAGCCCATGTCTTGAAAAACACACTGGGTGGGCAAGCTCTGAGTCCTAATGGTTAAGGCAGTCAGATCCCTCTTAGTTCAATTACTGGACTCTGCAGCCTGAGAAACCCATCAGGCATATATGTACATGTGGCCCAAAATCCCAAAAGGAAAGGGAGATGGAAGAGAGAGGATTGTGGCATGACCATGTGGGGTGGAGGATGGGAGGGCAAGTACACCAAGTATAACTGTCCTCATGCTAAAAATAAAATTATATAGTTTGGGGTCTTTTGCAGGCAATATATAATTTATATCTCTTCATTTGATGATGGGCAATTAGGTTTTCTTGTTTTTGAATATTATGGATAAAGCTCATATGAACACTTATAAACAAAAACGTTTCCATCATTTTACGTTCCAACCAGCAAGGTATGAAATCTTTGGCTGCTCGATATTCTTTTCAAAATTTGGCATTACCGGGAACCAGCAGTTAGCGTAATGGCTATGTCGCTGGACTCCCACGTGGTCAACCGCGGTTCGCATCCCGGACTCGGTGGCTTAAAACTCACGCTGAGCACGTGTACGCGCATGCCCAAGATCCCGAGAGGAGAATGGAAGAGAAGGGATTGCGGCGTGACCATCCCCCTGGGGGGTGATTTCTCGCTTTCTGTCTCTCTGTCTCTGTCTGTCTGGCGAGCGCACGCGCCCTGTAGCAAAAACCTCTCCTAAATAAATAAATAATTTTTTTTAAAAATTGGCATTACCATGTTCAGAAATGTTGCCTTTTTTTTTTTTTTTTAAATTAATTAATTTGGGACCAGCAGATGGCATAATGGTTATGTCATTGGACTCTCACATGGTTGACCAGGTTCAAGTCCTGGAAGTGGCCACTTAAATCTCACACTGGTCACATGTGCATGTGTGCCCAAGATCCCAAGAAGAGAATGGCGAAGAAGGGATTTCAGCTTGGCCATTCCCTCTGGGGGATGATTTCTTACTTTCTGTCTCTGTCTCCCAAACAAGCACACATGCCCATTAGCAAAAAATCTCTCTTAAAGTTATTATTATTTTTTTAGCTTGCTATAGTCATCAGAGAGAGAGCACGCACGTAAAAGTCAGAAAGCAAATTGCCAGGTCTGGGATTCAAACTGTGGTTGGCCATGTGGCCTTAACCACCACACCAACTGCTAGCTCCAAAGGTCTGCAGTTGTAAATGAAAAGGAAAAGTTATTGACAAATAAACTTAAACCTTAGATCTTTAAAACTGGCAGGTGTGGTATATTAGTTTATATTGTTCTCATATTTGGGCTGGGAATTGCAAGCTAAGGACTTACCACACAAACTGGTATAAGACTGTACCCCTGCACCCCAGCAGAAGAAAAAGGAAAAATCCCTGTGATGCTTTAAAAACCTAAGGCACTTGGGACCAGCAGATGGCATGGAGGTTAAAGCACTGGATTCCTACATGACTGATTGCATTTTGAGTCCCAGACCTGGCAGCTTGCTTTCTTAATTCCTCTCTCTCTCTCTCTCTCTCTCTCTCACTCACTCACTCACTCACTCACGCTCTCACTCTCATAAGCACATATGCCCTATGGCAAATTTAAAAATAATAATAATAAATAAAATTAAGTAAATCTTAAGAAAAAAAAAAAAAAACAGGGCACTTGGGGCCAGCAGGTGGCATGGAGGTTAAGGTGGCTGGATCCCATATGGCCAACTTCACAGCTTGAGTCCCAGACCTGGTGGCTTGAAAATCATGATGGGCACGTTTGTATATGTGCCCAAAGTCTGGGGAGGAGAAGGGAGTATGGTGTGCCCATCGCCCTGGGAAGGTGATTTCTCACTTTCTCTCCCTTTTTCTCCGTCTTTGGCAACCACATATGTGCTCCCTATAATAAACTTAAAAAAAAAAAAAAAAAAAAACTAGATTATATTTTTATATAAAGAATATTTTTCACAGAAGATAAATTTAGAGGTAAAAATTAAAAGGCATAGAAGGAAATAAACATGAAGACTAATAAGCTGTTCTGAAAAACAGGAGAATTATCACCCAACAGCTTTTAATAATAGAATAATCTATAGATGCCAAGGTAGCTGTGTTTTTTTTTGTTTTTTAAATATTTTTTTCTTAAGAATTATTTTATAGTTATTTATTTATTTATTTATTTATTTATTTATTTTTGACCAGAGATAGACACAGAGAGAGAGAGTGAGAAAGCAAGCCACCAAGTCTGAGACTCAAACAGCGGTTGGCTGTATGGGAGTTCAGTGCCCTTAAACACCATGCCCTGCTGGTGCTGCTGTGTTTTTTCATGATTAACAAAAGATGTATTAGAAGGGTGAGAATTATAAAGACTGTACATATCAGGATGGTGTAATATGTAGGCCAAAGTATTGTAATACCAGCAAACCTACTAGATCACACAGTCTCAGAAAAGAAGGTGCCTGTTTCTTTATAAAATCTATATAGTTTGTCTCAACCTAGAGATAGACAGGTAATACAACCTTAGGTCAGGCTGGTGGTATGGCATTAAGGTGGCTAAATACCACATGGCAGATCGTATGGTTTTAGTCCTAGACCAGAGGCTTGAAAAACACTCCAGGCATGTGTGCATCTGAGTCCAAAATCCCTAGAGGAGAAAGAAAGGGAGGAAGTTGCAGTATGACCATCCATTTGGGGAGCACTTTCTCTTTCATTCACTTTCTAGAAAAAAGAGACCAAAAAAAGGGAGGGAAGAACTCTAAATACTTTTGCCCTCAGGTTCCTTTATTCTGAGACTTAAATCAGAATAGTTGACCTGTTCATGTAGGTGCTCTGCTGCCTACAGTGGTGACTCTTAACACATTCTCCTCTGCAGACATTATGATCTCAACCAGCTACTGGAGCCTCGAAGCATAACACCAGATCCTTTGGACTACCGCCTAAGCTGGCACTTATGGGAGGCACTGCGGGCTCTTAACTACACCCATCTCTCAGAGCAGTGTGAGGGTGTGCTGCTGGCCAGTTATGCTGGCCAACTGGAAAGCGAGGGGCTCTGGGAATGGGCCATCTTTGTCTTCTTACACATTGACAACTCAAGGTGAGTGAGAAGCATTTGAATCTACTGGGTACATATAGCACTACAAGGCAGTGCTAAAGGCGTTATAGTCTCTTAGGGTTCAGTTCAGAAGTAATTGTTGAGAATGTATGTTAGACTTAGCCTGTGATAAACTGAGATAATTAAATCCTCATCCCAGACTGTCTCTGTATTCATGTGAACAGGTTAAAAATAAGACTATCTTTGGGGACTAGCAGTTGGCGTAATGGCTATGTCACTGGACTCCCATGTAGTCAACCGTAGTTCGCGTCCCGGATCTGGTGGCTTAAAACTCACGTCGGGCGCGTGTGCATGCGTGCCCAGGATCCCGAGAGGAGAATGGAGGAGGAGGGATTGTGGTGTAGCCATCCCCTCTGGGGGGGGATTTCTCGCCTCTTTCTCTCTCTGTCTGTCTGACGAGCGCACGCGCCCTATAGCAAAAACCTCTCAAAAAAAAGACTGTCTTTGATTGTCAAATTGCAACATTTGCCACAAGGCCTTTCACTAATCTGAAAGGGAAAAGAGATCTTGTAAACTGTACTGATCAGGGAATTGTCTTTCTAGAGATAAGATTCAAAGAACCTATAAAATACAAATAGGAAAAATGAAATGGAAATATTGTATGCATAGGTGGTACAACAGCATTAATTTAGGCACAGATTCAGTTGAACGTGGCATATGTAGAAATGATTCTGAAGTGTAGTCCTGGCTGAGCTGCCTCAGTGGATCCATGACAGTGGTGTAATGGTTTGGCAGGAGGATCCTACTTTTTCTGTCTGTTGGCTCTCTCTTTCTCTGGCCTTATTTGCACTCAGCCACCCTTTAAGCTTGATGGTATTATATTTACCAACATAACCTTTTGCTCACGTTTGCGTGTGTTGATTCTCTGTCCTGAAAGACAGCTAGAGAAATGTCTTTGCACTGTGGTTTGAACAAAATAAAGCTGGCTGTAAGTTTTTGTTCATTGTAGCAACATGGTATTATTATTGTGCAATAATAAAAATGAACATTTATGTAGTATTTATTGATAAGTACCACATAGGAGTATATTTATACTCTATTATAAAGTACTTTGGTGACTCACTTTATGTTTATAATAAACCTATGAAATTGACACTCTTACAATCTCTGTTTTTAAAATGAGCATCCCAAGACACAGAAAGAATAAGTAACTTTTGCTCAAAGTCATATAGTTAGTAATTAACAGAATAAGGTTGCTCTCATGTACCGTGAGTCTGTGCTCTTAATTAATCTGCTATGCTGTCATGTTGTATGGTGTGAAAAGAAGTGGATTTTGTAGTTATTCTTGCCTAGACTCCATATCCATAATGTACTCACTTTGAGTTTGGGGAGTTTACTCATTCTTGATTTAGATAAAAAAATACTTTCCATGTCTCAGTTTTTTTATTGCTGAAGTCAATATTCCTTTTCAAATGTGATCGTGAGATTAAAGGAATAAAAGTATAATGTATAATGCAGCTAATACAGCTTTTCCTTCAAACAACTTTCCTTTCTTCTTCCCCCTTGACAGAATGTCAAAATGATCCCAGGCTACTTCATTGAGTTCATTTATTCATACTCATAGTAGATTTCACATGGTTAAAAGCTGACTAAGTATTTCAGAGTTGACTATGGGGAAGGAGATCCTGTTTCCTGAAAAGATTCTTAAAAAGGAGGCAGTTGTGGGCCAGCATGTAGCATGGAGGTTAAGGCAGCTGGACCCAGTGGGTTAAAAATCACACTGGGTGCATGTGCATGCATTCCCAAATACCAAGAGGAGAATGGAAGAGAAGGGGTGGTGGTATGGCTATCCCTGCCCTGGGTGTGTGTGTTTTGGGGGGTGATTTCTCACTTTCCCTCTCTCTGGTGAACACATGCCCTATGGCAAAACTTAAAAATAAATAAATAAATAAAGGCAGTTGTAATGTGATTGGGAGTCCTTGAAAACCCTAGAAATCCAGAAAAGAGTTCAAGATGAGAATAGATTTGATCTGAAATTCTTCGGCCTACACAGAAAAGTACTCTCCTTAAGGGCCCATAATCTAGAGAATTAATTAGGAACAATGAGGGCTTGAGAGAAGAAACAGACCTGAGAGAGGCATTACCTTTAGAAATTAGTTGTTTACTTACACTGACCATGTAGGAGAAAGGAGAGTGAGCAGTGAACAGGTTGGGAATGAACTTCAGAGGACTGCTCTGTAGAGAATTCTCCTGTCCCAGTACTCAATTTCTAGGTGGTGGCAAGGAAGCATTAACTAAAATAGGAAATGAAGAAGAGATCATACCTAGGGAAAGCTTTTCTCAGGGGAGCAGTTAGCAATTTCTAGAGTGTTTGTTTTCTGACTTTTTAAAAAAATTTTATTTATTCATTCAGTTATTTTTAATTTGACAGAGAGAGAGAGAGAGAGAGAAAGTGAGAAAGCAAGCCACCAGGTCTGGTACTTGAACCATGGTCGACCATGTGGGAGTGTCCAGCACCTTAGTCACCATGCCACCTAATGGTCACCCCTGTTTTCTGACTTTTTAACCCTAAAAATAGGATATGATTAGATACTGTCTATTCTGTTCTTTTTTATTTAAAAAATAAATAAATAAAGGAGGCTGGCTCTGTTGCCTAGTGGTTAAGGAAGCCAGATCCCATGTGGCCAACAATGTGGTTCAGATCCCAGCCCCAGTGGCTGGAGAAACACTGGACACATTTGCTTACATGCCCAAGATTCTGATGGGTCGGGGAAATGGAGGGGAAGGGATTCTTGCATGACCATACCCACTGGGGAGTGCTTTTATCCCTCTCCCTTTTTCTCTCTGACAAGTGCACCTGCCCTCTGGCAAATTATTAAAAAGATACACAATGATCATATGTAAATTAGAAATTACAAAAATATTATTTTAAAATAAATACTGATAGCTTTTGATATTTTAGTGAAGTTTGAAATGATCTAGTAAGAATCATGACCCTGGGGGCCACTCTGAGCTCTTAGAGCAGCATTCTCTGTGAATAAGGATAGGATTTATTCCAACTTATGTCTTTTATTGTAGCCTGCGTGAAAAGGCTGTTCGAGAACTGCTTGTCCGGCACTGTCAGCTTTTGGAGACCCCCGAATCTTGGGCTAAGGAGACTTTCCTTACCCAAAAGCTTTGTGTTCCCGCTGAGTGGATTCATGAAGCCAAAGCAGTGCGAGCACACATGGAATCTGACAAGCACTTGGAAGCCCTCTATTTATTTAAAGCTGGGCACTGGAACCACTGCCATAAACTTGTCATCCAGCACTTAGCCTCTGGTAAGTGCTGGGCCCATGTCTTCTGGAATTACCTCAAAATCTTCCAGGCTCTGAACCCTCATGATGGATCAGGTCAGACAGCTTGTTCCATGTAAGAATAGCAGACTCAAATCAAATCACATTTGACAGAAGCTCTCTGCAGAAGAGGCTTAACTTGGATGAGGGGCTAGTAGGGCAGGGGTAAATAGCAAAAGTATTTAGTTACTAACATTTGCCCAGAAGTATTTTTGATGTGCATTAAGCCCTTTGCTTATTTATGGACATTTTACCCAACAACACCAGAAATATCTGCTTGTGCACCTGAAGATTTTTCACATTTTCTGTCAGGAAATCTTAGAACATCTAGTTTAGAATTCTCAAGTCTGGCTCAACATTATTTCCTCTTCCTTCCTTCGTGTCTTAAATTTCCATCACATCCTCTGCACTTGGGAGAACCATGCACTTGTGCATTGTGCTAATTATTTAATTTCTTTAGATGCCATCATCAATGAGAACTACGAGTACCTGAAGGGGTTCTTGGAAGACCTGGCACCTCCAGAGCGCAGCAGCTTAATTCAGGACTGGGAAACATCTGGGTTTGTTTACCTGGACTATATCCAGGTCATTGAAATGCTCCATAGTATACAACAGGTACCTCAGTTCCTTTTTTTAATTTGCCAGAGGGTGCATGTGAGAGAGAATGGGAACACAAAAAAAGCACTCTCCATGGGGCTTGGTGATACCACAGTCCCTTATCCATCTCTCCCTTCTTTCGGGATTTTAAGCATATATGCACACATGCCCAGTGTGTTTCCAAAGCCACCAGATCCTAGACTCAAATCTATATAGTTGGCCATGTGGAATCCAGCCACAATGCCATAGGCTGCCCTGCAGAGGGACATTTTAAGCAAGGAAATTTGATGTAGCCATTTTGACAGGTGTATTAAAACTTGTTTGTATTTGTTACCAACTGTTATGTGCAGCGTCCATTTCCTAGGCTTGTTCTTAGTCCATCTTCTCTTGTTCAGCCCTAGTTTGAGTAAGAATCTCCAGGATGACAGTAGTAGGATCAGAGATTGGATGAGGATAGGTGTTACACATCATTTGGCTTTTTTTGTTTGTTTGGTAAAAGGGTATATGTGTTTGCCAGACATAGAGTGGGAGAGGAGAAAGCATCCCCCATGGGAATGGTCATGCACGATTCTTCTCCATATTTCCCTCCCTTTAGGATTTTGGGTATGTATGCACACACACACCCTGCATGTTCTGCAAGCCCTTGGGTCCAGGACTCGAACTGCCTGATTGAGATCTGGTTGCCTCAACATCCATGTCACAGAGCTGTCCCTCATTTGGCATGTTTTAAAAGGGCCATCTGATGGCATGGTAGTTAATGTGCCTGGATCCCATATGACTGACTTTGTGGTATATGCATGCCCAAAATCCCAAGAGGAGAATAAAGGAAATGAGATTACAGTATGGCTCTCTCTCTTGGGGAGTGATTTCTTTTTTTTTTTTTTTTTTTGAATTATGCACATTTTTATTAGATTCTATTTCACAAACCATTAAAGTAACAGGTGTTTATTACCAAAATAAGATAAAACAAAGATATAAAGAAAAAGAATCCCTTGCCTTCTCCATTTGGTGCCTTCCCAAACACCATCTCTAGGAAGAACCAGCGTTAACCTGGTGTCTATCTTGCCATATCTTTCTCTTAAGTATGAAGAGCTATACACATACAAATATATAAAGACACGCCAAAGGGTTTTATCGAATTTGTATTCTTACAAAATGGCCTAATAGTTACACATTCCTTTTCTCATATAACATATCTCACAGACTTTTCAGACAACTTACATAGATCTGACTTTTTCTTTTTAGTAGCTGCTTAATATTCTTTACAATATATGTTTTACAGCTTTTTGCACCCATTTTCCTATTAATGGACTTCAGGTTATCTCCAGTTTTTTATTACTGTGAATAAAGCTTTGGTTAACATCCTAGTATCTATAATTGGATGATACTGGTTGATTTCTTTACATCCATGCAAAAGAGGAATTGCTGGATTCATAGGAATGTGTGTTTTTTAGTAGATGTGGCCATTTTAAAAAAAAAAAGAAAAAGACTGGTACTGCACATTTCCCTTGAGAATGTCTGAAAATGCCTCTTTTCCAGAGTCTTGGCCATCTGTGGCTACTTTACTTTTTAAAAGTCTTTGCCCGTGGGTTGGCTCTGTGGTTTGATGACTAAGGCAGCCAGAGCTAACGTGGCTGACTGTGCGGTTTGCGTCCGGGACCCCATGACTTGAGAAACATGCTGGATACATGTGCGTGTTCACCATCATCTTGAAAAGAGAAAGAACTGGAGGAGAGTGGACTGTGTCGTGACCATCCCCATGGAAGGCGCCTTCTCCTCTCCCTTTTCTCTGCCTCTCATGGTTAAGTACATGTGCCTTCCAGCAAACAAACAAAAAACCCCAAGAACTTTACCCAGGCTGATGAATATAAAATGTTCCTTTGTTTCTGCATTCATTTGAATGTTCCTGACTACTAAAGAAATGATCTTTTCCTATGTCAGTTGGCTCTTCAGATTTCTTTTGTCCAATTTTTATTACTATATCTCGTTCTCTTTTTCCTACTACATTACTTGTTTGTTGTTATTAATTTCTGGCTGTTAAAATATAGTATCTCTTGGGACCAGCAGTTAGCGTAATGGC